TGTGTGTGTGTGTGTGTTTACCTGTATGGTTTTGCGCAGGTGTGTGATTTTGTCCGTCTGTAGGAGTCTGCGTGTCAGAAAACCTCGAGCCACGGCAGTAAGACGACAGAGAGGCTTCATCTGCTCCACACACACCTCCTGTACAGTAACACACGTCATATTTCTATATATAGCAGTGTTATTTTAGTAGCATTGATGCACTATTATAGTTTTCGAATTGGATTGATTTTTTTCATTTCGTATTTGTCATTTAATTTTTCTGTGTACTGTAGTATTTATTTAGTTTTTAGTTATTTTAATACTATGGAAATGTTGCCTTGGAAACTATCTGTCAAGTAATGAAAATGTTTATAATTAATAATATTTAAAGACCCTACTGAACATCAAAAATTTGTTTGACAGTCAAGCCACAATGCATTGTTTTTATGCTTCCAAAATTGGTTTTGATGACTAAATAAACACAATTAGTCTAAATTAGTCTACTTGCATGACTTAATTTACCTCAAAGAAAAACTGACCATCAGAAGTTAATCTAGGAGAGCAGTTCTTAACCAAAGGGAATAATCACATTTATTACAATTATCTAACAGAATTTTAATACTAAAATGATGCAATCATATTTCCCCACAACAACTGTTGTTTTTATTAAGGAACTACAGTTCTTGAAACTTGTGGAATCACTAAATAATTGTGGTTGATTTATTTAATATATCTCAGTTTGTTTTCATGAGAGTTTAAAAGCAGCGAAATAATCCCATCATCTTAGTGACAAAAATATCATGCAAAACACAACTGCAGAAAGTTAATTTTGCAGCATGAAGCCCTGGCCGGAGCGACACACTCACATCAGCTGTCTGTGTTTCTGCTGCATTATATCTCAGTCATGTGTCACTTTACATAATGCATAATGCCTTATATTGTCTGGTGTGTGTGTGTGTGTGTGTGTGTGGAGCGATACCTGCTGGAGGTGTTGTGTTTGTCTCTCCTGCGAGATCTGCGGAGCATGTTCTCTCTCTAAACGCTCATGCAACATTTCCAGAGCCTGAATCTGCTGCTCCACTGCGAACGCACACAGACACACAGAAGCTGCATGTGCAGGAGAAGACCTTTAAATCAGCATGCAAATAATGCAAGTTTTCCTTGAGGAAATGTAAGTGGTGTGAAACTCACCAGCACAATGATAGAATGATGTGAGAGGCTGCCAGTGCATTAATAAGCAGTTACTACGGTGTTGGTTTTAAGGGTAGCTAGGGTGGTCGTTTAGCAGCCAGAGTTCACCTTTAATTTTATTTTAACCAGGCCAGTGTTATTTTAGTATCACCGAGATACTATTCGAAAATATGAAAAGATATAAAAATATAATATAAATAATATTTTTCAGTTAGTTTTTCTTTTTATGTTATTTTATTAGTTTTTTTTATATTAAAAATCTATATTAAAAAATAATATATGTAATATAAATTATATAATATATATATATTTTATATTTTCAATTTGTTTTTCTGTTTACATTATTTTATTAGTTTCATTTTATTACTTTTTCTTTTTATATAAAAATATATGCTAACAAATATTATATATATTTTTTTATTTTGATTTAATTTCAATTTTTTCTATTTTGCATTTTATTTAAATTTTGAAGTTTTAATAATTTTGTTGTGTTTTTGTCATTTTTTAAAATGTTTTTATATATATATATATATCTATATATATATTTTTTTTTTGGATTTAATTTCTATTTTTTTATTTTGCATTTCATTTAAATTTTGAAGTTTTAATAATTTTGTTGTGTTTTTGTCATTTTCTTTTTATTTGTCATTTTTTAAAAATATGTCTTTGTTTAAACATGTCTATTCTTCTTTCAATATTTCTATAGTTTTTTAAATTTAAGTTTTAGTTTTAGCTATTTTAATACATGTTAAACTAAATGAAAATGAGAAATGCCTTGGCAACTATGTATCTGAAATGAAATATTTAGTCTTTTTTTTTAATATTTGATTTTATTTCAGTTCAAGTTTATTTTACTTCAAATAACAAGATCTCTAGTCTCTTTCAAACAGTCTCTATCTCTCAACATTCTATAAACATCTATCATAACCATCTGATGTGATTTTGGTCAGCTTTCAGACATGTAAACCATCAGTTCAGGCCTGATCTCTTACTAACCTCCAGTGAGCTGTTTGAGGTTCATCTGTTCATCCAGGAGCTGCTGTGAGTGTCTTTCTGTCTCTAATCTGCTTGGGTTCGGCCCGACTGAATCCACCTGTGGTCTGTTCAGAGATGGCGAGGGGTTTTCCACATCATAGGATCGGTTGAGGGGCGCCGGGGGTGAGCGCCGGGGTTTCTCATGGCTCACATCTTGCGTTTCATCTAACCCGGTCATTCCTGTCCAGCTGCTGGGTGTGGAGGTAATGATTGACAGCTGTCTATCACTGAACTCTGAACCGCTGCAGTTCCGTTCCGCAGCAGAAGAGGGCGGTGAAGATGCCGTGAAAGCTGAAGGTTGCTCATTGTTTTTAGATCCAGTGGTGCTGAGCTCAGACTCGCTGACGGGGCTGGAGATGAAGATGTTTCTGGGCTGAGGGCTGGGTAACTGTGCGTAGGAGCCCGTCAGGCTGGAATCAGGGGATTCTGGGTCCGAGCCGTCTCTGGACTCGTCAGATGCCAGCTTCTCCATGCGCTGGTTGAGCAGGCGGAGGGTCTCTCTCTTCAGAGAGCTGCTGGGACTGAGCGTCTGCTTCTGAGCCGGAGCCGTACACGGCCTCACGCTGGTTCTGATGGAGCGCATCGGGCTTGTTTTGGACCCGAGAGTCAGAGAGGAGTCTGATGTGGGCGTCACTGCGCAGTCCAGCTCCTTCTGCACTTTCTTCAGCTGCGGGAACAGAAAATAGACATAGGTGTAAACTAGATATCCAGCAGCAGATATTGCACTTTATTCAGTGTGTGTCTCTGTCTTTCTGATAACAATTTTAAAAAAAAATTATTAAATACATACTTAACACTTGAATGGTTTGCTGAATTATGTTAACGTGTTAACAAGAGTGTTAAGGCCCTGGTTTTCAGTATTTGTGAGTGTCAGTAAGCGTTTTGATGGTTGTTTGAGTGTAATGGGGCGTTTAGTAGGTGTTGAACAGTGTAATCTGTACAGTTTGCAGTAAAGCAGTGTGAAACTGACCTGGATGTTGTTGAGGACGTTGTGCACTCGCTCCAGAAGAGCGTCTGTCTGTCTCCTTCTGTCTCTCTCCACCGCTGTCTGTCTGTCTTCAGCCATCCACACACACACACAAACACACACACACACCTTCTTGACATTTCTTGACATACTACAAATATGCATAAAATATTATTTACAAAAGATTTAGTTTCTATTAAGTCGCATTATTGTTTTTTCTACCCATTACAGTATTGCACTTAGATTTATTACTTATTTCTTATGTATTTTATGTATTTAAATCTAATTCTTATTTACTTTAATTTTATTTTTATTATTTATTCCGGTTTTTATATATTTTATTTTATATATTAATTGTTCCTCTATACATTATATTCATTATTATTTATTACAATGTCAGTACTTTACTGTTCTATTATTTATTTTATGTATTTTTATGTATTTATTCAAATCAAAATTTTATTTACTTTAATCTTATTTTATTATCTCTTCCTATTTTATATACTGTATTTATCAATTGTTCATATATACATTATTATATGCATTATTATTTATTAATGTCAGTACTTTACTGTTATATTATTTATTTATTATTTCTTTTATCTATTTGTATTTATTTATTTTAATCTAATTTTAATTTACTTCAATCTTATTTTTGTTATTTATTTTATTTATTAATTGTTCATCTATATATTATTATGTGCATTATTATATATTAATATGTTAGATTTATTATTTATTTACTTGTGTATTTATATTTATTTTAGTATTTATTCCTTATTTCTTATATATTTTATTGTGTATTAATTGTTCATCTATATATTATTATGTGCATTATTATATATTAATATGTTATATTTATTATTTATTTACTTGTGTATTTATATTTATTTTAGTATTTATTCCTTATTTCTTATATATTTTATTGAATATGAATTGTTCAACTATATATTATTATAAGCATTATTATTAATATTTCAGTACTGTACTGTTAGATTTATTATTTACTTATTTATCCATTTGTATTCATTTTAATCTGATTTTATTATTTATTCCTTATATATTTTATGTAGTTTATCATTAAGCGTGTGGTTCTCACCAGCGGCTGTAAGAGTCTCCTGCCGCGGAAGTGAATGTCAGACAGCGCCCTCTGCGGCCGCGGTGAGGTACTGCAGGCGGCCGGCAGCAGCGCGTTCATTGTCCTGCTGTAAAACTGCTCATAACTCTCCATTTCTCTCAATAAGAGACACCCAACACACCTAAAAAATACATTGGGTTATTGAAGCCGACCTAACCGAGGCTTAATCTACAGGTTTAGCATTAATGCTACAGTATGTTTTCATACCATGAAGACATTTTAATCACTCACCGCTGTACAGCCGGAATCTCTGTCTAATACCTTTAACCAAATACCTTTTGTCTAACAGATATATTGAATTATTACAACAATTTTAAGAGTTTGTTTGCTTATGCTCCGTTTCCTCGTTCATGCTTTCGCGCAGCACGGCGGTTACAGACACGTTGCATAGCAACCGCGGAAAGCCCCGCCTCCTGTCTAACGTAGTTTGGTCACGTGCTCAGCCGGTGGGCGGTGACGTCAGCGGCCAGTGCAGTTATCTGGCGGCGGATGGTGAGCGCGCACGCAGACGCACAGCAGGATCACAGAGAGACGCCGCCGCCGCCGCTGATGATGATGATGATGATGGAGATGCAGTATAATAACAATAATAACGGATATGGTTTGAATGAGTACATGATCCAGGAGGATGACTGGGACCGAGACCTGCTGCTCGACCCCGCCTGGGAGAAACAGCAGAGGAAGGTAATAATAATAATAATAATAATTATAGTGCAAACGGAGTGAATGATTTACAAAAATAACAAAATGTGCAAAATAAAATACATGTACAGACTAAATTAACAATCAAGAAATTTAACAAGCAATAGGTTAACTGACAATAAGCAAGTCAAGTTTATTTATACAACTCATTTCATATCAAACTGAAAAGAGAAATTAAAACATAAAAGTCAAGTCTAATGTGATACAATAAAATAAAATTAAAAAAGTATAACAATTTAAAAATATTTAAAAGAGCACCTTAAAAAAGTTAAGATGAAAAATAATTTGTAAAAATGTCTAAATAATCAGTAGTGCAAGATAAAAGTACAGGGTAAAATATGTAATAATCCACAAATTTAACAGAAGCAATACATTAATTGACAATAAGCAAGTGTATTTATGCAGCTCATTTCATACGCAAAATAAAAGTAAAGAATAAATGTAACAAATAACAGATTGTGTGTGTGTGTGTGTGTGAGTGTGTCTGTCTGTGTGTGTGTGAGTGTGTGTGTGTGTGTGTCTGTGTACCGGTTTATATATCCTGGTGGGGACTTAAACCTGACTACACACAGATTCATGGGGACTCGTGTCACGGTGGGGACCTAAATTGTGGTCCCCACGGGTACAAAAGCTTATAAATCACACCGAATGAAGTTTTTTGAAAATCTAAAAATGCAGAAAGTTTCCTGTGAGGGGTAGGTTTAGGTGTAGGGTGATAGAAAATATGGTTTGTACAGTATAAAAACCATTATGCCTATGGAGAGTCCCCACAAGGATAGCTGACCAGACAGTGTGTGTGTCCGTGTGTGTGTGTGTGTGTGTCTGTGTCTGTGAGA